GGAGAAGCCAAGTGTCAGTTTATTTATATTAGGGGCTTTTATCAAGCCGCTGGGTCCAATTCATTGTTTCCCAATGAGTGATGACAAGCCTCCTTCCTGTGCACTTATATTTAAAATCTGATGAACACTTGAGATCTCAGACAGCTCTAAGTAGCCAGAAAGAGGAAATAAACAGGACTTGCGATCCTTTATCAATGTGACAAAACAGAGAAAATGTACACTAACTTACTGGTAAAGCCTGTATTACCAAAATCCCAAAAATGTTTGCATTGCATAATCCAGTTTCTCAATCTGTCAGTTTTCAATAAGTGTTAGTACCATTATATAATCTCTTAATGGGTTGTCAATCCATGTACTCATTAATTGCTTGATTCTAGTTTCGGGCTCTTCTCTTTATCTGACATGAATTGGTTTGACTTTCCCTCTATTCTGCCTGGCCTTCCACATTTAATTTTGTTTGTCTTGGACTCTTAGCTCAGATTCTAGCTTTGAATCTGTCTCCAGATGGATTCTGTTGCAGATGGAATACAGGAACAACCAATTGTGTTGCAATTAGAACCTTCAACTCTCTGCTTACTGACCTGCCTGCAGCACATTGTTAACAATCTTGGAAGTAAAAGATTCTGGAAGAGATGACCCACATGAATAAATGTACTTCTAAATGAACACCGTGTGTGCATTAGTACTGATAAATTTCGAGATAAGGAGGGATGAGACTGTTTTAGTTTGACTCATCTATAATCCTTAGCCCTTAGTGATCATTTTTAATTCTGCCTCTCAGAAAAAGATCATAATTGATGAAGTGTAATGATAATTATCTGACTTGTCTATCTTTAATGACTTTTCAGATCATTGAGAAATGGGGATGATTGGGTTCATGTGTTGTATATAATGTATTTGGTTTAGTTTAAGTTTAAGTTGAATTTGGCTACTTGGTTTATGATTTAGTGTTGTTGTATGAACCCTATCATGCTGAGTACTTTTGTATGACATGTTAAGCCACATTGAAGTTGAGTGCAGTTGGTCATCAAATCATGGTTCCACATAGTGGTTAAATCTGGGTGCCTCATCCATAATCTGAATCACTCATTTATTCTACTGTTTTGCCAAGTGTCAGGACAGTGGTCAAGTGCCCAGGCAATTGGTTTTTTTGGATCCAGAGGCAATAAGCACACCAGTAAGTAAACAGATTTTAAGCTTTATTATTAGCTCTAGCAAACATATTGAAAAGCATAACATATCAAGGAAGATGATATCCAAATCTCTTACAAGCTGTCAGGATCGATAATGACAGCAGAGATACCCCAAGGGTGACCAGTTTCCACAGGACCCAATGCTCGGTTCTGTGTAGAAGCTCTCAATAAACAACAAAAACCTCAAGGTTTTTATTAAAGCCTGACACCATGGCTTCATGGCTTTGCCATGATCATGAGATTGCAAGATATGACCTGGAATGGGAATCAAAAGTTTGAGACTTTGGCAGTAAGAAAAGCTTTGCAACTACATGACTATTCCTCCCCCTTCTCCTTTCTTCATTAAAAAAGAGTAAAAAAAAATAAGCAGATTACCTTAGAATGAGCTCTAAACTTCTAGACTTTTCTTAATATGAAGAAATAAAAATAAACTCCTCAAAATAACAATTGTCTTCTGCATTGCCAGTATGTTTACCTTAACAATTGCTTTGTTTGTCACCCAGATCAAGATATGGGAGCTTATTCATTCTTTAACTGCCTAACCTCTTCTGCTCTCTATTGTTGTTTTTCACTGCTCATAGGTAAGTACCTTTCCCAAAATATAGATTTTCCTAAATGATCCTGATAGTTCCAATCCTGATTAAATCACTAGAATCTATTTGGGGTGAGGATAAACCAGCATGTGCCAACTGCTTAGCCACCACAAAGACGATGGGGGAGGATTCAAATAAGAGAAAGAATGGCAAATCAGTTTTTATCTTATCTTACCCATGGCTTCTTTTAAAAAGCACTATAAAAACAAACCTTGATTTAACATGAAGAGTGAATAAAATCACTGAAAACCATTCCTGTTTCCAGTGTTGAATTTCTTCCAGCCGTTCAAGACATCCCCTCAGAATTTTAGGAAATGGAGGAACATATCAGCTTAAGTAAACAACAAAATAGAATAATTGCACAGCTGTGTAATTAATAATAACCCATGAAATCAATCTCTGTCCCCTTTTAATTCAGCTTTTTCAGTTATATTTAACATAGTACCATTTTTTCAGGGTTTTTAAAATGCAATTTTATGTTTTGGTGCTTATACTGTGCATTGTTTGTCTTATTTCAGGGTCTCATATGCCATTTATGATAGGACAGAATGTAACTGACAGTCTTGTAGGACTGTAGCAATATATCAAAATGCTGGCTATGAAGAAAACAGCCTGAAGCTATGAAATATTGCTTGTTGGCTACACCAGTCCTCCTTCTGGCTATTGGGAATTTTGGCCTCATATTTTCCCTGCTTGTTTAACAACTAAGCATCATATTTTATTTTTCTCTTCTCTTCCTGTGGGCTAGTGGTTGGACAAATGAATCATTTCTTCCTGTCTTCCATTATCTCTTGCTAGGCCAATCTTAGTAACTTTAAGATATCTGACTTCAACTCCCAGAATTCCCCGACCAGCTATGCTTAGCAACCTTAAAGTTGCTAAGGCTGAGAATCCCTGTGCTAGGCCACGTCACAACAATTGCAAAAGGTGGCATTGACAGTGCAGGCACAAGACCAAAAGAGAAATTACTGAAAATTTATACCTCTCCGTATATAAGAATATTTTTCCTGTAGTGAAATAATAGTCACATTTCCCAGTTGCATTACTCCACACTCTAATATCAAGACTCATAACTTAGAATACCACGATGAAACAACTGATTTATTTAGATGATTCAAATAGCATTTTCCTTTATGATGCACAGTGTTTTATTCAAACCATGCAGATCTTGCTTTGCCACTGCGGCTGATTTTCTGAAAACAGTAGCATGCTGTAACCTAACAAGCTGCTTGAAAATGCACAAATTGAAAAAAAATAAAATGGGTACTTGGGTATGCCACATAAAGAATAATTCAAACAGACTCATTTTTCTCAGAAGTGAGTAGTGAATGTTTAAAATATGAAAGATGTTAGCTATTTCCTCCTATGTGGCCTGAATAACATTTTCTTTCAATATTTGGAAATAATTATTCTACAGAAAACGTGACTACTTTAACTATCTACCCATCTTTGTAAGTTGGCAGAAAATTATAATGGCATGAAACTTGCTATTCTGGTTGCCAATCCCTATCCTTACCTCTGTTCAGGAGTGGGCTGCTGGGGGTTCGCAGGGGTTCGAGAGAACTCCCAAATCCCGCTCCTGGCTGGCCCCATCCACCCCTCCCCTCCCCTCCCAGGAGTCCCCATGCGGCACGTTTTGGATGCAGGTAAGTGCAGGGCGCACGCGGAGGCTCAGGGAGGGTGAAAAACAGGCCTACCGGAAGTTCAGGAAGGCCGGAAACAGTTCCAGAGGGCCTCTGGAGCCTGGGGAGGCTGTTTTCGCCCTCCCGGAGGCTCAACAAAAGCCTCCGTAGCCCAGGGAGGGCAAAAATGCACCCCCCGCCATGGTGCAGGAGGCAGACTAGGCCACGCCCACCATGGCCACGTCCACCCAGCCACCAGGCAGAGAACCCCTTGCTGAAATTTTTGAAGCCCACCCCTGCTTCTCTTCCCAGTCATTGCCAATCATCTGGCTTACCTCCTGGCCAGTGGGTGACAAAGGGCATGTCTACACAGTGCCCTTAAGGTGCTCCTTTCCTGTACATGGACCAGCTTGACTTTAAGCCAATTTACAAAATCCTGTTCAGACTGAGGTGCTTTGGCAGCAAATTATTCTGTCTGGCCTGTGGGCTACCACATCCCCCCACTGGACAATTTCTTTGCCCTGTCCAACTTTTCATTCCATGAAAGCAATTGTCATTCGCTTTTCTTCCTTTGAATGGGACATACAATGCATTCAGAAAGTATTCAGACCACCTTCACTTTTGTCAAATTTGTTACGTTGCAGCCTGATTCTACAGTTGTTGAAATTCATTTTTCTCTCTCATTAATCTACACTCAGTACCCATAATGACAAAGTGAAAACTGAATTTTAGAAATGTCTGTACATTTATTAAAAAGAAAAAATTGAAATATCACACTGGCATAAATATTCAGACCCTTCACTCAGTACTTTGTTGAAGCACCTTTGACAGCAATTACAGCCTCGAGTCTTTTTGGGTATGAGGCAACAAGCTTTGCTCACCTGGATTGGGGGAATTTTCTGCCATTCTTTCTTGCAAATCCTCTCAAGCTCAGTCAGGTTGGATGGCAACCATTGGTGGACAGCCATTTTCAGGTCCCTCCAGAGATGATTAATAGGATTCAAGTCAGGGCTCTGGCTGGGCCACTCTAGGACATTCACAGAGTTGTCCCTAAGCCACTCCTATGTTGTCTTAGCTGTGTGCTTATGACAGGGGTGGGTTTCAGCCTATTCGGTCTGGGTCGGGTAAGCTGGTTGCTCCGACGATCAGCTGAGAGTGAACCGGTTTGCTCCGACTGTCAGATGGGCCCACCTTCCCGCCCCTGCGCTATACCTACCTTTATTTCGTTCATTTGAAGCCCAGCTGAAAGGCGCAGCAGAGCGGATTGCCATACCTCAGCTGTTTTTAGTGCTTTTAACACTGCTTTTAATGGTGTTTTCTATTGGACGGTGTGCGCGCACAGCGGATTGCTGCACCTCAGCTGTTTTTAGTGCTTCTAACACTACTTTTAATGGTGTTTTCTAATGGACTGCGCACATGAAGCAAACCGGTTGTTACACCGGTTGAATTCCACCACTGGCTTAGGATAATTGTCATGTTGGAAAGTGAACCTTCAGACCATTATGACATCCTGAACACTCTGGAATAGGTTTTCATTGAGGATATCCCTGTACTTTGCTCCATTCAGCTTTCTCTCAACCCTGACCAGTCTCCCAGTCCTTGCTGCTGAAAAAGATCTCCACAGCATGATGCTGCTACCACCATGCTTCATTGTTGGGATGATATTGGGCAGGTGATAAGCAGTGCCTGGTTTCCTCCAGACATAACATTTAGAACTGAGGCTAAACAATTCACTCTTGGTTACATCAGACCACAGAAACTTATTCCCCATCGTCTAACAGTCCTTCAGGTGCTTTTTTTGCAAATTCCAAGCAGACTTTCATGTGTTTTGCACTGAGGAGACGCTTTAGCCTAGCCACTCTGCCATAAAACCCAGATTGGTTGCCATAAAACCCAGATTGGCTGTAGTAATTGTTGTCCTTCTGGAACTCTGTCCTATCTCCACACAGGATCTCTGGAGCTCAATTACAGTACCATTGGGTTCTTGGCCACCTCTCTTACTAAGGCCCTTGTCCCCCGATTGTTCAGCTTGACCGGGCAACCAGCTCGGCAGTCAAACATCTTCCATTGGAGAATTATGGAGGCCACTGTGCTCTTAGGAACCTTCCCCAGAATCTGTGCCTTGCAATAATCCTGTCCCTGAGCTCTGCAGACAGTTCCTTTGACCTCATGGCTTTTGCTGTGCTTCAGTATGCATTGGCAGCTGTGATGCCTTCTAAAGAGCGGTTTTTGCCTTTCCAAATCATGTCCAATCAATTTAATTCACCACAGGTGGACTCCAATCAAGGTGTACAAACATGTCAGCAATGATCAAGAGAAATGGAGGGCACCTGAGCTAAATTTCATGTGTTGTTGCAAAGGGTCTGAATACTTATGCCAATGTGATATTTCAGTTTTTTTTCTTTTTAATAATTCTAAAATTCTGTTTTCATTTTGTCATTATGGGGTACTGTGTGTAGATTAATGAGAGAAAAAAATGAATTTCAACAACTGTAGAATCAGGCTGCAACATAACAAAATTGACAAAAGTGAAGGGGATCTATATATTTTAATGTGCATATGTATACACATAAACAAATACATACATGCATACATATATACATACATCTACATAGATGCATGTATGTAGTATCTGCATACAGAATTAAAACAATAAAATGCACATCTGCACATGCATAGCATGTTTTAAAATAAAAGATTCTTTTGGGAATTTTCCCTATTAACACCTGCAGATCCTGTTACAGTAGGAACTCTCTGCTAGCATAATGGTTACAATACTTGCCTAACACGAGAAAGTCCCTGATTTGGCAGAATTGCTTTTTTTCCCCCCAGAAGTATTTATCTTTCCCTAAGCTACCTGCTTTTTTCCTGGGCTTTTTAAAAAGAAAAAAAAAATACATCTGCTGCTGCACCCTTTCATAACTGAAAAAATAAAGGTGAAAAATGAAACAGTGCACCGGTGGGCTTATGAAAACAATGGGCAAAAATTAGACAACAGAGGGAAAGAAAAAAATATTAATTGAAAATCATTCTTGCTGGGTTTCAGGCAAAAGATGTTTTGCACATGAGATCAGTGTTGTAACTGTGTAAGGAAAACCTACTGGAGCAGAATTTGCAGCAGGTGTTATTCAGGCAGAGCAAGGAAGATGCAGTGAGGCAGGGATGGACTTCAAAAATTTTAGCAAGGGGATCTCTGTCTGGTTGCTGGGTGGGTGCGGCCATGGTGGGCGTGACCTAGTCTGACTCTTGCACCATGGCGGGCAGGGGCATTTTTCCCCAGGCTCCGGAGGCCCTGATTCTGGCCTTCCTGAACTTCCAGTAGGCCCATTCTTCACCCTCCCCGAGCCTCCGTGCGTGCCCTGCACTTACCTGTATCCAAATGGACCGCGTGTAGACTCCTGGGAGGGCGGGGTGGGGTGGGAGGGGCCAGCCAAGAGTGGGATTTGGGGTTCTCCAAACTGCTAAGAGTCTTAGCTAGAGGTTCTCCCGAACCCCTGTGAAACCCCCAGCAACCCACCCCTGAAGTGAGGGAATATTTCTGATTCTGCAAAGCAGTCAGTCACAGTACAAGGATTGGCTCAGAAGGATTTAAAGTGCATTGGGCAAACCAGACAGGACCACTCAAGCCAACAAAAGTAGGAAAATGCTACTTTCAAAGTGGAGCAAGAAAAGTGATCCAGAGTTACATTTGTGGTGGGGCAAAACATGACTCCAGGGCAATATGGTCTATTCCTGCCCTTCAAAATGGCTGCTGGTCCCACAGGATGGATAAGCCCAAAGTCCAACAGATTTTGTAATATATTTTGGATGGTGCTCTTGGGTAGTGTCAGAATAAGAGGGGAAATGTTACCTTAAAGATCACTCAAGCATGTCTCACTCATTTGTTGGGAGCAAGGTGAAGGTAATGCCATGGGATATGATGGAAGAATATTTTACCAGAATGTGTTTTTGCAGGGGTGAAGCTGGGAACATGGCCTTCAAAAGGCAAACATAATGGAAAGCTGGAACAGATCCTTCTCTGAGGCAGCATCCAACTGTGGATTTTTTGATCTTGTATGTATTCAGTCTTATATAACTTATATATAGAGTTGACCCTACTTCCTGATTTTTTAATGATTACTTGGCTATTAATTAGGATTTAATAAATAGAATTTTAAAAAGCTGTCCTCTTTAATGGCAATAATCTTTTCCAATTGCAGTTCCTTTCTCAATGCAACAATCCTTATTATGCTGTGGAGCTTGATGACCTTGGCTGACTTTCTTTTCCACTGCAAGAAAAGTAAAAAAAAAACCAAAAACCTAGGGGATGATTTGCCTAGTCAAGTTAATTTCCTACTTTGATTCCAACATTAATTTCTTTTTACTATCCATATAAAGTAATTCTAAGTCTTGATTTGAATACTGCAATATAAATTAAAGACTAAAAAGGACCAAAGAAGAAAAAAATAAATGCTCCATCATCCTCCATTTATTTTTTAAAAAAATACAATAAAATAGAAAATCTATGGTACTTCAGATCTGGCATCTGAGGCAATTCTGTCTCCTAATGTCTAGATTTTGAACTGGATTATTTCTTCCCAATTATTCTTTGAAAGCAAAGCATCTAATCATGTGAATTCAGCACTCAGGCTTCTCCGGGATTTGGACACAGTGAAAAGCTTGATGAGCTGCTTTCACCTCAATCAAAGTTTTTTTTTTCTTTAAATCACATTTCTGTTCTTCTTAAATTGCCTTCAGGCCAAATCTATTGAAAATGTAATCTCTCTACTCTCAGGAGATCCTGATTCCATGCAAGTGTGAGTACACTCTATAAGCATAACTATAAATATGACATAGATCTACAGGGAGAACATGTACAAAAGCCACATCCCACTATCAGCATGTTGCACAATAAAGCAGGATAGATACATAATTTAAATATGATTTTTTGGATGACAAACTTTTAGCTAATAAACAGAATAATAGAAGAAGTGGGAATTACATATTAGCTGTCTTGAATTACTATTGATCATTGACACCAACTTGATTTTTTCATTTACCCCCACCCCAAAGGGGTGTGTGTGTGTGTGTGTGTGTGTGTGTGTGTGTGTGTGTGATGCGCAATTTTTGCAGAGCAAGTCCCTGCAGTTTTCTGGACATAGTTTTTCAGAAATAGTTTGCCATTGCCTCCTTCCTAGGGCTGAGAGAGTGTGACTAGCCCAAGGTCACCTAGCTGACTTTGTGTCTAAGGTGGGACTAGAACTCACAGACTCCCAGTTTCTAGTGTGGTGCTACACACTAAATCAAACTAGCTTTCTAAAAATAATACACCCACCTTCAATTTTCAGTTCTGAATTAGGGAGAGAGAATCAGCATGGTGGGAGTGAAGATGATGCTGCAGAGTGATGAAGACTGTCACAATCTTTTAACAATGGAAAAAAGTATTGTTCCACATTATACAATGCTCTTTACTCTTTTAGTTTTAGTAGAATGAAAACCATGATGTTGGAAAGAATTATATTGCTAGATAGAAATCTGCCTAAAATGATCTCTCCTCCCCACCACCCAACCCTTATAAGTCAAGAAAATAATTGCTGTTTCACAGGTAAGAAATTTAAAATTTGACATTTTCCATACCTTTTCCCTCACATACGCCAGTTCTAGCCAGACGTGGGCCTGAGAAAGATATGCTATAACAAGCAGAGGCTTTGAAGGCACATGCTGTAGCAGCCCTGTCCTGACATTTGCTAAGCTTCAGAGTCCCTCAAGCGCCTGGGAGCTCAGCCATTGACGTCACTGAACAATAGGCAAAATATTTCCTCCTCCTCCTCCTCCTCTGTAGCCTGAATTGTAAACACCAAGCCTGCACAGCAAGCTGAACATTTGGGGAGAGGTGGGAGAAAGGGAATGTGAGCAGCTCTCAAGTGATCTTGCCTGAAAATCAGCAGCTGCTAATGTTGCTGCACAACCAGCTCTCTCTCTCTCTCTCTCTCTCTCTCTCTCTCTCTCTCTCTCTCTCTCTCTGTGTGTGTGTGTGTGTGTGTGTGTTTGTGTGCATGCTAGTGTAAGGATGGCAGCACTGGCTTGCTTTCACAAGGGAAAATCTGATGATCCAAACACTCTTAAAAATCCTTCCCTCTCTTATGCCTAGGTAAGTCACAGGCACACAGTCCTGGAGAAATGATCTTGCTATTGTACTGTATGCAAGAAAATCACGACGGAAGCCAGAATAGGGCAGCCAAAGGGCAGAGAGGAAAAGGGGAAGAAAAATAAGAGAGATGAAAAAGATCTCTCTCTCTCTCTCTCTCTCTCTCCCGCCCGCCTGCCCCCTCTCTCTCTTTCTCCTTCTCTCCCTCTCACAGTATTTAGTAGATTGAGGATGAGCAAAATTAAACCTGTTGCATTGGTTAAGTCAGCTTCCTGGAGGTATTGGTCTTTGGAACTCCTATCCATATTTTCTAGACAAGATAGTCTAACATTTAGTCTAAAATTTAGAGTTTCGGACTTCCCTGCATTACATCCGGAAATTTCAGTGCAGTAGCAGGGAGAAGGACAATCACTGGAAACAGAAAATGGTTTCTCAATGGTGCAAAAAGATTTTTTATTGTATTGGCTGAAATTTATAGAGGCTGTAGCAGGATACCTAGACATTGCAAGCCTTAAATTAAAATACTTCCTTTTATTTAAAAATAACCTTCTTAATATATATATTTTAAAAATGGTATATTGATAGCTTTCATTTTCCACATCAAAAGTCATGTGGCTTTTGGCACTGAGAAATGGAGATTGTCAATATATATTGACCCCATGAATGTTATCAAACCTCTGGATACTAACATCCTTATGTTGACTTGTTTGTCTTAGAATGCATTCACATGTTCATAAATTGCATTTTTCTTTTCTCTGAATGCACACTGAACTATTCAATGACAGTGCAATTAAGAACTCATTCCTGTTAGGGATTTCTTCATACAGGCAGTCCCATTCTGCTATTTGAACTCTATATTGAAAATTTTCAATGCAAACCTCTGCATTCCCCTGATCCTATGCATGTCATTTAGGAGTAACTGAGGAAAAGCAGCATAAAATATCACTCATACAGTTGCCCCACCCTTCACCCCACCTTCAGCATATATGTGGAAACAATGATGAAATTTGATTCTTAAGCAACTCCTATATAGACTATCCCTGGGAAAATTAAATGTGAAATTTTGAATTGTAGACTCAGAATTTTCCCTTTCTCTTGGAAGGTATTAAAAAAGTGTGCCGGCTAGTGTCTCAATCTGGGTAACCAGAAAAAGATCCAGATCCAGGAACACCAAGAAACTCACTGTATATTCTTATTGGGGGAGACTAATCCTATTCAGAAAAGTATTTCCTTGGAATACTATGAATTACAAACAACCTTCTCAATACTAATTTCTTTTGGGGGACATATATCTCCTATAGTTCAAGGACTGGTCGTTTAGGGCCTGTTATTACCTACTGGAAACACCTTGTAGAAGGTGTGCTTCTAATTGGGACCGTGTTGGTTATGCCAACTCACAAAATATTTGGTCAAATACCATTGACCACAAATGTTGGAATTTATTGTTGGAATGAATTTTTGTGCAACAACTACAGTAGTAGTCAACCAGTATATGGCCGGGTTTACAAGTTTGGATCTATGGTATATATTCCATGTTCTTTTGTTCTAAGTAGAGTTTCCTATTTCCTGTTACAGTTAAACAGTTAAGCAGCAAAGCGCATGGTGACTGTACTCTTTGTTTGATCTGTTGTGTTATATATAAACAGAATTTCTAACAACAAAGTAAAGCTAACAGATCTGGGCTGTAAAAATCAAGACAAGTGTTTTCCAATCTCGGCACCTTTAAGATATATACTGGTTGGGGAATTCTAGGAGTTGAAATTCATATATATATACCAGGGCCTGGTGGCTCAGCAGACTAAAAGCATTGTGATTAACACCAGCTGTCTGCAATTACAGTAAGTTCGAATCTCACCAGGCTCAAAGTTGACTCAGCCTTCCATCCTTTCTAAGGTAGATAAAATGAGGACCCAGTTTGTGGGGACACTAAGCTGACTTTGTATAAATATACAAAAGTATGAAGGCTATTGCTTAAAGCATTGTAAGCCGCCCTGAGTCTCCGGAGAAGGGCGGCATATAAATCAAATTAAAAATAAAAGATAAAAAAATATATATTTTGAAGTTGCCGAGGTTGAGAAATACTGAGCTAGATAATCACTTAATAGTAAAGAGAAAGAACAGATTCTAATTTACCATTGCATGCGGCTGAAGTCACCACTTTTGCAACCTAAATCTGATAAGCCCAAAGAATGAGGCTACTTTTCACATTTCTCTCCTCCCTAACAACCTAGATTTATTTTCAACACTTTTTTTCCAACTGAACAAAATTCCAAACAAAATATATTGAGCTTATAGCTATTTTTAAATCTATAGGATACATACAGAGCCCAGATACATTTTGGAAATAAAAGATAATGCTGGAGTTTGTCATTTTGCTACTTGGGAAGACAGATTTCTATTTTAACACCAAAGTGAGCACCAGGTTACATACCTCTGTTTTAAATTTCAATAAATATGGTTCATAGATATTTGGGTCTCACCAGAAAACTTTGTAGTTCTATGGATAAGCACGAAGCAATAACAGAGATTGCTTTCCATTCTCACCTATTTAAAATTTCCTGAATTGTTGGAATTGGTTGTTTGCAATCAAAATGCTAAAAAACTTGTAGAATAGGCATGGCATGTGCAAATCTAGCCTTAGCTTTAGTGTGAAATAAAAATGAAATTATTTTTTAAAAAAACAACCTTGTATACATTTCTGATGGGCCAAACAGAAAATTGTAAGGAGTATCAGAGCAAATGGAAAGGAAGAAAATTTAGCAATATCAGGCACTTTTTTCTCTGAGCCAGAGATGAAGCAGAAAGAGATGAAATCAGCCAGCTATAAAAATAATAAAGGTAGGATTAAAAATAATAAATAAATACTCGTGCTTCTATTTCAGGGGTGTCAAACTCGATTTCATTGAGGGCCACATCGGGGTTATGTTTGAACTTGGGGGGCCGGGGGGGGCATGGCCAAAGTGGGCATGGACAGCTTCACATCACTCATGTACTACTACTACCACTCATGGACTACTGTAATGCTCTCTACAT